GTGCTGAAAGCTGAGCTGCTCATGTTGGAAGGCACTTAAAATACTACTCAGGAAGAACTGACTTCTCAATAAGTTGAGTCATCCTTAATGCTGAAGATGGAGCAAAGCTTTCAGGGCCTTCATTTGATGATGGGGCATGACTCAAACTGAGAAGAAATAACGGCAAACATGCACTGAGCTCAGAACATGGAATGTATTAAGTTTGAATCTAGGAAATTTGAAAGTCTTCAAAAATGAAATGGAGGGCAATAAGATGAGTATCCTAAGCATCGGAGAGTTGAAACAGACAGGTATTAGCTATTTTGAATCAATCAAACATGATTTACTATGCCAGGAATGATGGATGGGTTTGCATATTGATATACTATGCTGCCTGTGATAGGATAATATCTGTCTGTCTACAGGAAGACCAATTAGCATCACTATTATTCAAATTTACGAACCAGCCACTAAAGCCAGTGATGGTGAAATTGAAGCAGTCTACCAAATTCTTCAGTCTGAAATTGATCAAACCTATAGTCAAGATGCATTGTAATTACTGGTGACTAGAATGCAAAAGTTGCAAATGAAGAGGGGGATCAGTGGTTGGAAAATATGGCCTTGGTGATAAAAACAGTGCTGGGAATCACAAGATAGAATTTTGCAAGATCAATGACTTATTCATTGCAAATACAATTTTTAATGGCATAAATTGCATCTGTACTCTTGGACCTCACCAGAGAGCATACACAGGAATCAAACTGACTACATCTGTGAGAAATGATAATGGAGAAACTCAGTATCATCAGCCAAAACAAGGCTAGTGACCGACTGTAGAAAAGACCATAACTTGCTCTTCTACAAGTTCAGGCTTGAAGTGCACAGAAGCCAAAATATATCCCACTGGAATTTAGAGACCATCTCTACAAAAGATTTGACAAATTGAACTCGAATGACCGAAGACCAGTTGTAGAAAGCCAAGAAGAACATTATACATGAAGAAAGCGAATGGTCATTAAAAAGACAGTAAACAATTGAAAGATCAAAGTAGATGTGGAAAGATACTCTGAAACTTGCTCTTGAACTAGTGTAGCTAAAGCGAATGAAAAAAGTAAAAATGCTGAACTGCACATTTCAAAAGGCAGCTCAAGAAGATAAAGGCAAATACTATAATGAAATACGCAATGACCTGGAGTTAGAAACCCAGAAGAGAAGAACAGGCTCAGCATTTCTCCAGTTGAAAATAACTGAAGGAAAAAAAAAAATCAAGCCTCAACTTGCAATATTGAAGAACTCTATGGGCAAAATATTGTGAATGATGCAGGAAACATCAAAATAAGATGGAAGGGGGGAGACCCAGAATCACTGAACCAAACAGAATCGGTTGACATTCAACCATTTTAGGAGGTAGCATATGCTTAAGAACCAATGGGATTGAAGCTGCACTGAAGACATTAGCAATAAATAAGGCTCCAGGAATTGAGAGAATACAAACGGAAATCTTTCAGCAAACTGATGCAGCACTGGAGCCACTCACTAGTCTATGCCAATTAAATTTGAAAGACAGCTACCTGGCCAACAGACTGGAAGAGATCCATATTTGTGCCCATTCCAAAGAAAGGTGACCCACCCAAATGTAGCAATCATAGAATAATTAATATCACATGCAAGTAAAATTTTGTTGATCATCATTCAAAAACAATTGTAAGTGTATTTCAACAGGGAGCTGCCAGAAATTCAAGCCAGATGCAGAATAGGACGTGGAATGAGGACTTCACTGCTGATGTCATATGAATCTTTGCTGAAAGCAGAATGTACCAGAAAGATGTTTATTTGTGTTCTATTGAGTATACAAAGACCAATTTTTTTTTTTGCATTTAACAGTGAGGAATCCGTACATAGACCAAGAGGCAGTCACTGGAATAGAGTAAGAGGATACTGATTGGTTTCCATGCAGGAAAGGTGTCCATCAGGATTGTATCCTTTTCTCCATACTTAGTCAATCTGTATGCTGAACAAATAATCTTAGTAACTTGACTATATGAAGAAGAATAAAGCAGTAAGATGGGAGGAAGCTTCATTAATAACCTGTGATATGCAAATAACACAACCTTACTTACTGAAAGCAAAGAAGACCAGAAGCACTTGCTGATGAAGATCAAAGACAGCTTTCATTATGGGTTGCATCTCAATGTCAAGAAAACAAAAATCCTCCCAAGTGGACCAATAAACAACATCATGATAAACAACAAAAAGATTGAAGTTATCGAGGATTTCATTTTACTTGGATCCATAATCAGTGCTCATGGAAACAGCAGTCAAGAAACCAAATGATTTATTGCATTAGGCATACAAGACCTCTTTAAAGAGTTAAAGAGCATAGATTTCTCTTTGAGGATTAAGGTATGCCTGACCCAAGCAATATTTTCAATCGCCTTATAGGATGTGACTTCTGGACAATAAGGAAGACAGCAGAAGAATTAATGCATTTGAATTGTGGTGTTGGTGAAGCTTTATTGAAAGTACCATGGACTGCCAGAATTACAAACAAATCTGTCTTGGAAGAAGTACAACCAGAATTCTCCTTAGAAGTAAGGATGATATTTTATCTCATGTACTTTGGAAATGTCAGGAGGGACCAGTTCCTGGAGAAGTACATCATGTTTGGCAAAGAAGAGTGTCAACAAAAAAGAGGAAGACCCCTATGAGATGCATTGACACAGTGGCTGAAACAGTGAGCTCAAACATGACAATTGTGAGGATGTTGTAGGACCAGGCAATGTTTATTTCTGTTGTGCATAGTGTCGCTATGAGTTGGAACTGACTGGATGGCACCTAACAACAACAACAATTCAATATCAGCAAAATTCCCACTGAGCAAACAGCTGAAACGCTATTTTGCCAACTATCCCTCCAACCGTGTATTATTATGCAAACAAGCTTTGGCATTATGGTATGGGTTGGTTCTCAGTCAAGGTCTGCCACTGACAACTTTTGGAACCTCAAATAAGTCACTTACCCACTCGGTGCTTTAAGAGCCTGTATTTAATATAAAGGGATTGAACCAGACTAGGAGTTTTTCTTTCTTGTTAACTATATAGATTCAGATTAACTATGGGTTCAGATGAAAAGTATGGACAGTAGGTTATTACATAAAACAAATTAAAATGAGGCTCATTTTATAGAAAGAAGTATCTAATAACTCATTCCTTGCCCAGTTTGCTGAACCCTTGCCACAGCCCCAGAGCTGGGGGTCATGAGGTTCATTACACAAATGCAATTTGAAAAACACAGGAGTATATGGTACCTTCACATCCTTTTCAGTTTAAAGTATCCATGAGTGACATGTCTGAGCTGGATAGGGAGCCCTCACCAAAATATAGTCAGCATGAAAACAAAAGCCTGCCAAGCTCAAAATATTACGTATCTGAACTGGTTACAAAATAAATACCAATTGACCAAGGTTTTCAAAAAAATTTTTACCTGATCTTTTTCATTATTTTCTGATCACTTACTGTGCATTAGTAGTACAACAGCATTAAAGATGAAGCCCATTTAAGAGGTAGGCTCAGCATTACCGTTGGGTGTGAGAAGCTCTGTGATGGAGTAGGGACATACCAGCACAAACCTTCTAGAGGAAATGTCTAATCTGAAGCTAGTAAGTAAACAGGTAAAACTAGGGAAGGGTTATGTTGTTACTATTATGTGTTGTGACCTTGTATAGTGTTTCTAAGGAGCAGCTGATGGGTTTGAACTGCCAGCCTTGTGGTTCACAGTCCAGTACTGATCCTACAGTGCCAAATCAGGAAGAGTTATAGAGAAGTGGAAAACAGTAAAATTTACAAGTTGAGTAAGAAACAAAGAAAGCATGCAAAGGTTCAGAGGGAAAAGAAAACTTGGTAGATCCCTGGGAATGAGAGGGGAGACCATAGAGATTAGGAGAAAGGTGAACAGGGCTGGGTCATGAGGAACCACCAATATCTACAGCAGAGTTTGGTATTTTTCTGAGGATTGTGCTGACCTGGTGCTACATAGCATGTAGGTTTTTGTTGTTACGTGCTGTCCAGTCAGTTCCAACTCACCGTGACGTCTTGCACCTTCACTCATTATTGTCATGTTCAAGCCCATTGCTGCAGCCACTGTGTCAGTCCATCTCACTGGGAGGCTTTCTCTTTTTCATCAGCCCTCTGCTTTGCCGGGCATGATGTCCTTATCCAGGGACTGATCTCTCCAAATCTAATTTTCTGCACACCAGGTTTATTTAAAACACAAGATAGATGTTGAGTATCAATGAGTTGATTATTGAAGGAAGCCATAATTGAGAGTGCCAATAGGTGACTTTAGTGAACCTCAGTTTCCTCTTTGACACACAAGTGATGTTAGTCCCCACTTTCTGTACCATGTTCATGACTATGGTGAGGATCAATTGTAAACTGGGAAGTACTCTGTAGATCTTTAATTAATTACCATGATGGCAGTAGCAGGAGCAGCAATTTTGGGGAGGAGCCACCAGATAGCAGTAAATGGGTCTTAATATAGGACTTTCAAAAATTCATAAAATTATAGATTGTTGTATATTTATTTATAAACTGTAAGAAAGTGACTTAATATTCATGTATACTTGCAGACTACTCTATCTTCTGTTCTGGTTTAAAAAAAAATAGTGTAATATATTGGAACCTTCTTGAGGATGAAACAAAAAATATCTTGTGATACATGTTATCTTTATTTTATAGAGGGGATCAGAGATTATGTGATTTGCTGAAGAGCACCAGCAAATAGGTGACAGGTGATATAAATTTGCATTCAAACGCCAGGCACTGCTTTATTTGTAACGGTCTGTGATGCTTTGTCACATAGAGCTAGCATCTTTTATTCCAAAGCACTTATACCAAAGTTGTAAATGTTTCATGGAAGAGAAATCCACAGTGCAGTAAAGCCTAACTTTAAGGTGAGTGTTAGGGAAACAGCAAGAAAGAATGTCTCATCAGTCATTTTCTCTCATCTCTTGTACTTTCCAGGTAATGGACCGATGGGAGAACCAAGGCAGTCCTCAGACGAGTTTATCTGCTCCGGCCATACCACAGAACCTGCCCTTCCCTCCCGCCCTCCACAGGAGCTCCTTTCCTGACTCAACAGAGGCCTTTGACCCAAGGAAGCCTGACCCATATGAGCTCTACGAGAAATCTAGAGCCATTTATGAAAGTAGGCGTAAGTGAAAGCCACATAAAACAAGGGGGCACCAATACTAACTGAAGTCCTGCCAGGATATATATTGAGGCTGCTATGATCTGGCATGATTTTTTATTTTTTAAGTAAAGACAGCTGGTGTAAACTTGTCCTTAAATAAGTACTTATCTTTTGGTATTTCCTACTCCCTCCCACCAAGACCCTGAGAAGAGACAGAATTTTTGTTGTTATTGCTAGCATTCTGGTGTGGCGCTGTGGGTTAATGCACTGGACTGCAAGGTTGGTATGAACTGCAAGGTCGGCAGTTCAAGCTCACCAGCAGCTCCTTGGAAACCCTATACAGGGTCGCTATGAGTCAGAACCGACTCTATGGTACTTAACACGACCACCAATTGCTAGTCTAAGTTTTCAAATAATAAGAAGAAATATTTAAGCGTTACAGCCCTGAGTAAAATACCAGCCAAGACCTTCCAACTCTCAGTCATGAAATAACTGCTTCTGAAAGCGTTCCCGAGCTAGACTCCAATCTCTTGTTCCTGAATCTTTTCTTTCTCATTTAATGCGGTAGGGTCCAATTAAAAGCTCTGTCCTAACATACCATGTATGCATGAGCCACCCTAGTTGAAGCACTTCTAATCCATTTGTTGTACAGCTTTTCACATTTCTCCAGGTCATCTCCTCCCACGTGGTTGTTGTTGTTAAGTGCCGTCGAGTCGGTTCCGACCCATAGCGACCCTGTACACGGTTTCCGAGGGTGTAAATCTTTACGGGAGTAGAAAGCCTCATCTTTCTCCCGCGGAGCCGCTGGTAGTTTCAAACTGCTGACCTTCAGGTTCGCAGCCCGATTCGTAACCACTATGGAAGGATAATCTGAATGGCCTGTTTTTTCTGTGGAGGGAAATGCAGTGTGTATCTTAAGAACCTTAGTAAATAAATGATGGAGCAACCTAGTCTAGTAAGAAGGGTTTAATCCCTGGCGTTCCCATTTATGGTTGATTTCCTTTGCTTTGGTGTTCTGCTAGTGCCCTGTTTCCGACTTTATCATCTGAAGTACCAATAGCAAGTTTTAAATTGTATGTGATCTCAGAGGATCTCAAATCTGCTTACTCTTTTGATGAGCTCAGGGGCTGAGAATTATGCACCCAGCTGGTAAAGGGAAAAGCAGTCATAATACCTTTTCCCTATCCTCTACAACATTTTGTAAAAGTGATTTTGGTTGACAAAATAGTTAGGACAGCAAGCCATGGAGAAATAATTTTCATCAGAGTGAATCCCTCATATATATATATATATTAAATAACAGGCTTACTGTATTTTATCCCCCCCCCCCAGATGAACTGAAATATCTTTAAAGGGATGTATAGCTAGAATGACTTTGCTTTGACAGAATAAAAACAAAGTGAGCATTTTTAGCTGTATAATATAGGATATGAATACTGATGCTCATGGAACTGGGAAAAAAAAAAAAGCAATTGAAAGTATTTCAGTACAGTTCTTAATATCTCTTCTGCACCAAGACTCAAGTACTTATTGAACACCCACTTTGGTCTCAGTGGGGAGATAGCAGAGATGAGTGATAGACCCTACTCTCACAAGTTTAACAGAGGAAACAAACAAAACAAAAAAATGAGTGGCAATGGGTAGAGATCAAGCTGCAGTGTAGGTTCCAGTGTTAAAGGTGCAAATGTATTGCAGGACTAAAATAGCATCTTTGCATCCGTTTTTTGATAACATTTAAGGACTATCAAGTGATGCTTCCTCCTACTCTTTGTCCCTTCGGTAGTCTTTTGCAGTTTTCCTGACCTAATAAATGCTTAATTATTCAGAACAAATCTAATGTTAGTACTTATTCTCCGTCTGCTCCTTGGGGTTGTCTGATATTACTGTGCATTTCATTTCTGAATGGGAATTGTGCCTGGCCATCATTTCAACTCTCAAGCATTTCTTCTGATTTCTTTTTCCAGCCCCTGCAATGCCCTTTCTGTTCATCGCATTTCCCCTCCTTGCCTTGTGACCAGCCATCACTTTCTTCTTCAGTCCTCCTCTGGGAGCTCTTTGTCCCCTCCACCACCACACAAACATCCTAACTTACAAACTTCACCCAAAGTTCAGGGGCGAAGATATATCCTGCACCCCAACCAGTGCCTTCGCTTCTCCTGCTCTCACCATGCTCGCTCCTATTTTCATAAGCTCTCTCTAATAGCTTCAAGGTAACAGACACATTTTCAGGGTTACAGCTCCTACAAAGCCAGAAGAAGATGAGCTCCTTTCCTTTCCCCATTCTGCTTTTTCATTTCATGTTATTTAATAACTCAATAGAATGTGAATATAACACAGAAATCATGTCAAAGGAAGAAATGTTCCACCCCTAAAGAATTGTTGTTAAGTGCCGTCGAGTCGGTTCCGACCCATAGCGACCCTGTACAGGGTTTCCGAGGGTGTAAATCTTTACGGGAGTAGAAAGCTTCATCTTTCTCCCGCGGAGCGGCTGGTAGTTTCGAACCGCTGACCTTAAGGTTCGCAGCCCAATTCGTAACCACTACGCTAAGGACACTACAAGGCAGGATGCCACTTTTCTAGTCTCTTGCTCATGGGCATGCGGATGCCTTAGCCCTCTGCATCATTCCCTTTTCCAAATAAGAAAAGGTTTCCACTTGCCACATACTTAAAGGTTTTCTAAAAGTATTTCAAAGTATTAGTAAACAAAGTTTTAACATTTTGTGTGCGTGTGTTATGCATCATTCCACCATCTTAAGGGCCAACTCCTCTGCATATTAAAGGGCAGCAATTCACTCATTCAAATTTTTAAACAAACATACTTTTTAATGATAGGGGGAAAGTGCAATATAATTTTTATCATCTTTAAACACATTCATCATCATTGAATCCAACAATCATAAAATGTATGTAACCAGACCAAACAACATATACAAACGTTTGATTGCAAGCCATTCCGCTGCTTATTCCTTTGATATTATTTAGTTCTGGCTTTATCTACTCTTGTGTTGTCCCCTCCCCTGCAGCTTTTCTCTGAGAGAAAAATTAATGCGAGTAGAGAAAGTATGGAAGGAAATTCTAACAAAAGCTATGTCGTTTTCTCTGACATGTAACAGTTCCGTGGTATCCTTCCATCACACCAAGATTAAAGCTAGAGAAATACTTGAATTTCCATTCACAGTTGGATTGTAGTAACCAAATGAAGAATGAACCTCTACCCACAAGCCTCTGCTGTACAGAGCTACAGGATGTTTGTATATCAAGACTGTCAAGAAATATTTAGATTCAAGTCGCCAGTCCCCTGCAAATGATGGAAATTTATCAAACATTGTAAATGCTGCTGTGCCTCATTTGACTCATAATTAGATTATGCTGACACTTTAATGTGCATGCATAGGACATCTTAATAATGATGTATTCCTGAAAAAAAAAAAATGGCTGTGATTTTAAACAAGTGAAGACAACCATAGAATGCTAGCTAGGGTCCTGTGCAATAGGACATGACAGGTACATGCTTGTAAGAGGAAAGCTAGAATCACCTTTCATCTTCCTGAGATCTCTCACCAAGGTGAGACTGAAGAATACAGAGAAAGAAGATCCATCCTTCCACCCAGGTCAAGTGCCCAGAGATGGCACCTCTAGGTTCCCATCCAGAGTTGATTAAACACTCAATATGAGGCTAGAGCTTTGTTAAGCACTTCACAAGGAAAATCCATGAGAACTCTCCTCTGCTTAAAAGAAGCTTTCAGAGAAAATAGGAATACAATCAAACAAAAAAATCAAGTTAAACTATTCATGAACAATGTTGTATTATACAACACAACAGTAACATGTGAAATTGGACAATAATCATTGATTCTTGGAGTACCTGAGTGTAAACAATTAATGCACTCAACTGCTAACCCAACCAGAGCCTCAAAAGAAAGGCCTGGTGATCTGCTTCCAGAAATCAGCCATTGAAACCCCTATGAAGCATAGTGTCACACTGATACACATGGAATCACCATGCATCAGACGCAACTTGATAGCAATTGGTGATTATTTCTCAAACTTCTGTGTGCAAAATTATTACTCAAAATAATGTTATATGTCTGGTATCTTCTAATTATTAAAATCTCTTTTAAAACATTAGTCCTTGCTAGGATTAGCAGCACACTGCAAACCATAAGGTCAGCGGTTCAACCTTGTGGTTTGCAGTCTGCTGCTTATCCAGCTGCTCCTTGGAAACCCTATACAGGGTCACTATGAGTCAGAACTGACTTTACGGCACTTAACAACAAAGAACTCTGTGCAAAAGAGTTTTTTCACACTATTTTAATAGAAGGAACTCTGGTTCTATAGTGGATTACGAGTTGGGCTGCTAACCGCAAGGTCAAGTAATTCAAAACTACCAGCTGCTTCATGGGAGAAAGATGAGGTTTTCTGTTCCCATAAAGATTTACAGCCTTGGAAATCCTATACAGAATAGCTAGGAGTTGAAACCGACTCCATGGCCCAGAACCACCAACCACCATTTTAATATAAACATACAATTCATATGAATGTTGTTTTTGTTAGGTGCCATCAAGACTCTTCCAACTCATAGTTACCTCATGTACAACAGAACAAAACACTGCCCAATTCTGTGCCATTCTCACAAGCATTGCTGTATCTGGGCCCAGTTAACCACTGTGTCAGTCCATCTTGTTGAGGTGTCCTATTTGCTGACCCTCTACTTTACCAAGTATAATGTCCTTTTTTGGGTCTGATTCCTCCTAATAAAATACCCAAACTGCATGAGATGAAATCTCACCATCCACATGTCTATAGGAGAATTCTGACTGTACATCTTCCAAGAAAGATTTATTTGTTCTTCATGCAGTCTGTGGTATATTCAATATTCTTCATCAATTCATCTCTGGTCTTCCTTATTCATTGTTCAGCTTCTGGATACCTATGAGATGACTGGAAAAACCATCTTAGGCGCATCTTAGGTCTAACAGTGACATCTTTGTTCTTTAACACTTTAAAGAGGCCTTTTGCAG